ATATCAGAGGTATGGATAGACCAAGTGGCCTACCACCATCATTTTCCGAAGTTAATTCTAGAAAACCCTTGAGAATGATAAGCTCATTATTTTGCCCGTGTGTCTAGGATGCAACGTAGACATTTGTGTTTGGATTACATCTTATTTACACCTTATTTACACATACTGAGTTGATTGCATTATTAACACATTTTTTAATCACCTTTTTATTTCATATATATTACATAAAAAAAGTGCTCTAGTATCTTTTTTTTAAAAATTATCCCATTTTGGGTAGATCAAAGCCAGTTTGAATACTCAACAAACCCTAAACAATAAAGCCAATTTAGGAAAAAAAAAAAAAACAATGCATATTTTTTAATAGCTATTCTTTTTTTTTTTTTGCACATGATTCCTGTATTTGTGTTGTAAGCTATAATGGTAAAGCAAAGCATATCATGTCCTGTGTTTGCTTGTCTAATCAGATTTACACAGCTGCCTCCTTTTTCTGGATCAAGAAATTCTCTAGTCACTTCTCCATTTTTTAAGAAACTATTCATGAAATATTCCCACTACTTTTTCCTAAAGGTGGTGCTAGTTGGAAAAGAAAAACACAAAAAAAGGGTCCTTATCTCGACCAACTTTCATAATTGACATATCTAAGGTTCAATAATGCATCAGAAACGGGCCCCAAAAACAATCCAAAATTGATGAAGAACGTGTTTATTTTAGTATTATGCATAGTTTAGAGCTACCTAATCGTGCCATACGGCAGTATAATGGTTGGCTGTCTTAAAATGCAGTTAGATTTTTAGATTGGAAAGTTAAGACTAACAATTTTAGCCACAGGTAAATAGAAAGTCTTTGATCAGAGATAAATCTGAGCACTAATCCTATTAGAAACAAAGAGAATAACTAAAACCATTATACTTGCTGGATGGTATAAAAACCTCTAAATAGCAAGCTAATCCCCAAAAACTTCCTAGATAGCATCTAATTGCGGCACCATTTTTTAATAAAAAATCACCTGGAAATGGTGGGAAGTTGGGCACATACTCCGATCTATTTATTAGTGAAAATTTTTCAAACAGTACATGATAAAGAAGATGAACCTCTTAATTAATTTTACAGACTGAAAATTTGACCAACTTTTAAATGAGTTCAACATGCTTCATATTTGTGATATCATGAAAGTGTTTGAATTCTTGACTTCAAGTCTTATCATATTTGCATTGTTTTGCCAAATTTTGAATATTCCTTTCGTTTCTTGACCTTTTTTCAAATCACTTGAATGAACTGATCATCATCAATGTCTTAATTTCTGTCGCTTTGTGAATGATTTTCTTCTTCTTTGTTGTCATTGTTGGTTGGTTTGTTCAGTTGTAGCTAAATGTAAGTGATTTTATTATGCAATCTGTCCCGCCCAATCTCTTCGAAAACATAAAATTCGGCCAATGCAGGTGAAGCGTCTTTTTCCTGTTTTCTTCGTGTTCTATTTTTAAACATGAAGTTCTTTCTCCAAATGAATCAGCACTTGATTTTCTACTGATTTATCCAAATGCAAGTAATTGTAGATGAATTTTGTGGAAATCCATTGGAAGCTTCTCCACTTGTGATTCATGCTCCAATTGCTCCAAATTAGAATTGTTAATTACAATTCAATTATGTTAACCCACCCAAACCCGTCCACTAACAACTCGTCCATTAATTTTGAATAGGTCTAAATGGATATCTAATTAAACCCATCTAATTAGTAGATAGTAGATTGATTTGACTCACCTATTTATACCTGTTTAAGAATAATTATACATTTAAACTTAACATTTAGTAGGTGTTAAGCAAATAAATTTGAATTTCTTACCAATCTAATAACAATAAAATATCGTTATTTTTTATCAAATAACATTTGAAAAAATAAAAAAAATTAGAATTTTAAGTGACTGATAAATGGGTAATTAGGCATATCTATACCCATTTATTAAATAGATATAAAGCAGTTAACCTAGTTATATCCATTACTCAATTATGACTCATCTAAATCCAGCTGAATCATCCATTTTTACACTTCTACTCTAAATCAATATGCTGAGGGTGGCCATTAGCAACCAAAGCATCATTCAAAACAACTGACACATTACTACACAAGATTTGTCAGGGAAATTAGTCTTCCCACAGTAAACAACTTTCAATGATTCCTTAACTACTACCAAATCACTTGTTGACACACTCTCACTTAAACTTGTTTTCCTAAATACGGTACCAAGAATTTAAAGTCATGTCTACAACATGAATTATTCAATCCTCAAATTTTGGCAACTTTCCTGACTGCAATTAGAAAATTTGCAGTGAAGATGAAAGTTTAAGAAATTCGACTTGGTGGGATTGCCTTTTTAAGCACTGGTCTCAACCTTGCCAAAACTTGGCAGTGGCTTGGAAAATGATAAAAGTGGAATCTATGTATGACTTGTTCCAACTTCATTGTACTGTATCGAATATTTCAATAACACTATGCCAATGATCGATTCAACAGTCCAACATTGTATACTAAAGATTTTATTACCTATTGCCGACCAAGAAATGTATTAGACAAAATATGCAACTTCTTGGAAAGTTCGTATAATTAATTGCCTAAGTACGAACTAAAACACGAACCTGCACCACACACAATATTCTTAGTACATAACATGCCAAATGCTAATTAAGTAGTAGTGCGATTAATAGCAAGCAAGACGATTGTTAGTACTTAAATAATACAAGAGTCTAATTATTAACTTTTTAATTCTTACGTGTACTACGCAAATTGTCTGTAGTTAGCCTTTAATTTTCCATTTGATTCTGCAAGATTATTTATGTAATTCAAGAAGGGACAGAATATTAATTTTTTGTGTATAGATGTACAAGCTGCCATGAAAAGGACAATTCTTCCCATTTAGTCATTTTTGTACATTATTGTGACTTATGGGCACATGTTAAGCAATAAATGGTATGATATATATTTTTTAACATCTAATTGTGTTACATAATAAAGTTTCTATATGGAATTTGGGGATATGAAAATAAAATAATGATACAGCTACTCAGTATAACTCGAGTATTATCTGACCATAAACGCATCATTTTCTTTACGATCGTGGGAGTAATTTGAGCTCCCTTGCCAGGTAAGATAAAAATAAAGGGTCAAAAACAATGGGTTTCTATTCAAAATAACTATATTTTTGTTCTCATTAAATGCTAAAACGAAGGTAGGGTGACATATATAGTGTAGGTTTTTAGAAAACTACTTGACATAATTAGTTTGTTAGGATTTAGGGATGATAATCAACGTGAAACGAACTCACAGAAAATAGAATTGCATCAGACAAAGTAAGCCACATTTGATACCAAAATTCCCTATTTCTACCAAATCATGAAAGAAAATTAAGCCACAAATTAACCTCTAATTCCTAATTCTACCAATTTAAGCCACAAAGTCCTCTTCTATTTTTAGGCTAGTATTATTCTCCCTATATAGTAAAACTTCTATAAATTAATAACTTTGGAAGAGCAAATTATCCATGTAGTCACTAAATTTTTTCAATAGTCAAGATTTGGCCACTTAATTTTTATTGTATGTTTTTACCCATAAAACTATCAAAAGTGCAAAATCTAAAAACCTACACTATATATGTCACCCTACCTTCGTTTTAGCATTTAATGAGAACAAAAATATAGTTATTTTGAATAGAAACCCATTGTTTTTGACCCTTTATTTTTATCTTACCTGGCAAGGGAGCTCAAATTACTCCCACGATCGTAAAGAAAATGATACGTTTATGGTCAGATAATACTCGAGTTATACTGAGTAGCTGTATCATTATTTTATTTTCATTTTTCACCCCAAATTCCATATAGAAACTTTATTATGTAACACAATTAGATGTTAAAAAAAATATATCATACCACTTATTGCTTAACATGTGCCCATAAGTCACAATAATGTACAAAAATGACTAAATGGGAAGAATTGTCCTTCTATTTTTAGGCTAGTATTATTCTCCCTATATAGTAAAACTTCTATAAATTAATAACTTTGGAAGAGCAAATTATCCATGTAGTCACTAAATTTTTTCAATAGTCAAGATTTGGCCACTTAATTTTTATTGTATGTTTTTACCCATAAAACTATCAAAAGTGCAAATTTTAGGTCATTCTGTCTAATTCCATTGTTAATTTTGTTAGATCTAAGGATTTGCATGATTTATCAGATAGAGTATTAATGGTTAGATCTGGTAGAGTTAACGGCAAAATTAAACGGAATGATCCAAAATTTATACTATTAATAGTTTAGTGGGTAAAAACATACTATTAATAGTTGAATTGCCAAAACTTGACTATTCGAAAAGTTTTATGGCTATTGGGATAATTTGCTCACTTTGGAACCTATACAAATTCTATTATTTTAAAGAGGAATTAATTAATCAATGAATTAATAATTAATAATTTAATCAAGTAAACTTTTGTGGAAGAAATAGTCTCAGAGAACTTAAATGATCCTTTAGATGAGGAAGATATTGATGAACTTAAGACGATAATCAACTATTTGGGCTACCATAATAAAATGGATGCAATTACCAATTGGATCATCTGGATAAAAATGAGATAAGTTCAAAGGTCTCAAGTTTAGAAGAAATTATTGCTAGAATCACTAAAAATCGTGCCAATGATGAAGGTGAGGCCCGTGAGGGTGATATAGTAGCTGTAGAGCCCGTTCAGCAAAAGGAAGCGCTGAAAAGCATCAATAACTCTTCAAAATTTCTAATTGCAAATGAGAACTCAAATCCATAACTTTTAGATGCAATAAGAAAAATTTGGGATTAGATTTGGATAGATTTAAACTTTAAGAAAAAAACAAACAATAATATTGGGCCTGTTTGGAAGCCAGTTTTTTGGGCAAGTTTTTTACCTACTAGTTTTTTAACAACTTTTGCTATAGGAATCCCAAAAAACTTTTCAAAATTTTTTACCTACACACTTCAACATACCCAAAACACACCATAAAAAATTCCCTTCCCTTTTTTCCTTCTTCCTCCCCCATCCCAACCCACCACCACCGTCGGTGCCGACCACCACCGCCATTTCGTCCCCCACTCCGCGCGTGCAAATAATCTGGGTCGCGAGCTTGGGCTGCGTCTGGTGCGCTGTGGAGCAAAGGAAAGGCTGAGCCTGGGCTGCCAGAGCGTCTGGTGCGGCTGGGCTGCAGAGGAAGGGCGGAAGGGAGGAGAAGGGGAAAGGGAGGGCAGAGAGGTGACGGGGAAGGGCAGTGGGAGGGGGCGGGGGAAAGGGAGGGCTGAGGGGTGGTGGGGGAAGGGGGAAAGAGAGTTGCTGCTGAGAGGTAACGGGGAAGGGGAAGAGGTAAGGAAGAAGAAGAAGAAGAAGAGAGGAAAGAAAAGAAAAAGGAAAGAAAGAAAAAGAAAAAGAAAGAGAAAGAAAAAAAGAAAAGGGAAAAAAAGTTTTTCATCTTACAAAAACTTCTACAAAATTTTTCACCTTACAAAAACTTCTACAACAAAATTTTTCACCTTATAAAAACTTCTACAAAATTTTTTTTAAAAACTTTTACAGTGCACTACAGTAAAGTTTTAGACAAACTCCCAAAAAACTCAGGTTTCAAACAGGCCCATAATCATGTTTTAGGAAAATATGATATGTAATTTTAATAAATTATTAATTCATGATATGATGGGACCACATAGTTATATATGGTTTTTAAAAATATATTATTTTATTATTTTATGAAAATTATTACTTTAGTTCATTAGTTCATTAGTTCAAGTCCGGACAGAAAAAATTATTATTTAATAAAAGTTATTAATTTATAAAAAAAAAATTTGTTGAGATCTGTCTAATTGCATTCCAAAGCGAACATGTCAAAAACAATAAATGAAAAAAAAGTTTATTTGCCGAAAATTTTCTAGACCAGGAAAACCAATTAATGGTTACGTCAATCACTCTGTTGATGCTAGTTGGGCCGTACGGTAACCAGTCCTGGGCCCAGATACCCACTGGGAAGAAAAAAAAAAAAAATCACTCTGTTGATACTATTTATCCTGACATGCTTCCAGCGCATAGTTATCCCTATCCCCATCTTACAGATTTAGACGGTATTTGGGCTTACTTAAAATACCACGTCGTTGTCTCATCAACTTGTCATATTGATTGATTTCGTGATTTTATCAATTACGGATCAATTATCTCCAATATTGAACGCCCATTCTTTTATTTTAAAACAAAACAAAGTATGATCTTGACTTGCCCAGATAGATGTACACATGTAACATATTTTATTGTTCCATCATTCCACAATCAAATTATCTTTCACGCGATCAGTTAAACGTGACTTACAAGAGATCACTACATATACAAAAAATTTTTGAATTAATCTCATATACACTAGCAGCATATACATTATCATGATTAGATATGATTATATGTATGATATATATATAATATTTGAATTTTAAATTCAAAATAGTTGTCATGCGTCTAGTGATGATATTAACTCATATACACTGATAGTGTTTATAGTATCATAGTTAGATACATAACACATATATAATATTTAGATTTCAAATTCAGATTAACTGTTATACATGCCGCAATGATAATGTATATATTATCAGTTTAGATTTTAAATTCAAATTAGTTATCATACATAATTAGATGCTTGACACATATACAATATTTGGATTTCAAATAGTACATACACTATTAGTATATATAAGATTAATTCTTTTTTGTTAAATGTAGGTGAAAATTTTTGAACTCGAGATCTCTCACTAATACTCTCTCTTCCTGTATCACCCAACCCAACCAATCCCTCCTCCTCCCTTGCCCCCAAATATACATACTTGTCGGTTCATTAGTTTTGCTAGTAGCATTAAGGATTAATGCCAAATAACCTCCCCCCTTTCAAAAATTCCCTTTTCCTAACATCGCCTACCTAAATATTCAAGTGAACCAATTCGCCCCTAGGCTGTTACAATTTATTTTCCCAATCATGTATGATTGAATGGAAAAGCTCAGTATCTGACTGAATCAATCATGTACAGAGCATATGATTTTGTAAATTGAACAAATTATCCCCCAAATTCTTAACTACGAAACTTTTTAGATACTTACTGTTGACACGAAATATTCTAAAACAATCTAGCATGGGAATATTTTATAAGCTGTGTTTCTTGCAAATGGCAAATTCTCCTCAAACTTGACCCGTCAGACCCAAATGTACTTGCATGGAAAAATTATAATTGCACAGGGAGTGGTGGTTTAGTTCAATTAAACATTCGGAAAAGCAATGCAAGGAAAATGTATTTTTGAGGGGGTTCATTGATATTAACCCTTGCATTAGTTATTGGCCTTATAAATAATCGTAACAGAGTTACAGTATGCTATTTCATCAACAACTAAATCCGGAAGTGACTTTCAACTTCACTCGTCCATCAAAAAAGGTTACGTTGACGAAATTATTTCTATATACAAATTAAGAAACAATGAGTGTGTTTGGATAGTAGATTATTTGAAATATTATTTAATATATAATGCAACAAACTTTTTGTAATGTGATACATGTGAGACAAAAAGGTAATCAGAAAAATAAAAAAAAATATGTTTGTGATGTAAAAAAATTACTTTTAGACAAATAATTCCCATCCAGGCTCCAGTCTAGACCTAAGTATCAACAATATGCCTAAAAGAAACCATCCGGTCTTTTAATTTGTTGTTGGAAGCATAGAATGTCGATACTTATACTAAGGCAATCTTTAAATATTTGTCATGGTTGACTGACGGGTCTTTTATATACGTATAAGTTAAAATCCGATTTACACCCGTTTGATTGCAAGTATACAAGTCAAATTAGTAGTTTAGGGCATGTATCGGGTCGATCCCAGGAGGAGCAAATTTAAACAAGTACTAGGTCATTGTTTACTCTATTATTTAGACTAAAAATAAATTGGAGTAGAAATATTATAAATGCTACTTCCTAAAATCTGATTAGATCAATGCAAATTACAAATGGAGAAAATTCTAAAGACTTGAATCTAGAGATGTAGATTCCACTTATGGTACAAAAGATCCAAATGAATGAATTTAACACTTGTTACTACTCTTGTTTAACTAGGGATTCATTTCCAAAAATATCAAAATCTCATTCTCATGATAATAATGGTCTAGAACAGTTTAGTTTTTTCTAATCTCTTGATAAATAACTAACTCTGTTCTTGTTTATGCATGAAATGCAGATTTCATCCACTTGATTGTATTTCTATTCTCATGAACTTACAACCCAAGCTCTACTCATGTTATTCCATGGTAAAATTCCATTGTTTTTACCATTTCTCAATAAGTAATACAACTATAAACTTGCTATTGGTGATCAAATAACAACAAGTAATCAAGCATGCATAAGTAGACAAGTTAATACAAGATAGAACAAGTGTAAATCACATTCAATTCATATCACTTGACCATAAGTTTCATCTACTCCCTAGATATAGAAATTTAGCTACTCATGGATGATACAACAATCAAACTCATAATTTCATTAATGGAAAACATCACAAGTTACAAGTACAAGAAGGATAAAGAAAAGCTTAGCCAAGTTAATGGTGCAGCCCTCCAATTTCTGCTAAAACTTGCACCAAATGATTACAAGATGAAGTCTCCAAGTGCTCCTTCAAGAACTTCTAACTAGAGAGAAAATGTTACAAAAAGAAAACTAGCTACGTATGGATCCCCAACTTCCCCTTCATTTTCTGCATAAAAAGATGGTAGAAAGTGTCTTTTTTCTCCCCTCATGATTCCAACATCTCAGATTTGTTAAGAAAGTCAAAAGAAATGTTGTTTTGACTTGACAATAAATCATATTGTCTTTCTTTTTGTTTCAGAAGCATGTGCCACCGAATTCTCTCACCAAAGATAGCTGAAAAGTTGTGTGAAAAATAAGAAAACTGGCTGTGCCACTTGCAGAGGAGAGAGGCAGATCCAAGCTCTGGATCCGAGGGATGCAGTAAGATCCGAGGTCTTTCTCAAATGAATCCGAGCTCGGATCATCTGGTCTCGGATCCACTACTCCAGAAGTACAGACAAAGGCTCGGATCACATTTGGTCCACACGGATCTGCGCTCGGATCCGTGCTCTTCAATTTCCAGATTTTTCAATTCCTTCCTATTTCTTTATTTTTGCTCCTAGTTTCTTTTGTACTTTGTCCTCTAGACGATCTTTGCTTTTTCTTTATCTCGTTCATGAATTTCACATATCAATATCCTTCAAAATATCACAGATTAAAGCATTAATTCACTCATTTAGCAAGTTTTGATTACTCAAACAACACTTAAGCAATTAGCACCAAAAAGAGTTCAAATATGGCTTTAATCTTCTCAAAACATACCAAAAGTTCATGCCAAACTTGTACAAAATGTACGTTAAGTATTCACTTATTAAATTCCCTCACACTTGAATCATTGCTTGTCCTCAAGCCATTCACATATAATCAATTTCAATGATTCAAGAGATGAAACAATATATGTACTTTTGTCAATTTAATTCCTCAAGACTTGGAAATCAATCATTATGCCATTGCTCAGATTACACTAAATACTTATAATATCAAGTTAAAGAAAGATAATTATACCTTAATTTTAACAAATTCAACTCAATCTCTCATCCTAACCTAATTTCATCAGTAAGCAAATCACATATTCAATTTATGGCCTTCCTCATCCTATAAACATTTTTTTTCAAAATTTAACAACTAAGAGGGATTCACTCTTCATTTTATTTAAATAGAAAAATATCTTTTTGCGAGAAAATCGACACTTTTAGGTGAAGATTTCCGGTTACTCAACATTTCACTTATTCAAATTGCTATGCACACTCTTAATTCCAATACCTTTTTACGCGAAAATCGACATTTTTAGATGCCAACCTCCAATTACTCAGTACATGAATCATTGGAGTAGAAAAAAAACTCTTATTCTTTTTTTTAATATCACAATCAAAATAGATATGCATATATATATGCATAATTAAAGGATGAATCTGGCCTCTTTTTGACTATATTAATCACTTACTTATCA